GGGGGAGTATATTAAATCTATGTTTGTTTGTTTGTTTGTGTTTTTCGGAAACAGGAGCTGTTCTGGTTCAAAGTTCACGGTGCTGAATTCACCTCAGCTTCTCCAGCAGGCTGCTTTGTGTCCAGTAAACAGTTAATAAGAACAGCAAGTGATATAAACTAAACAATGTGTTTTCTTAAATAATTTTAAATTTGAACATTAATGCGGGAGAATTTTATTYTTTAAATTACTAAATGAACATTTGATCACTGATTATCATTCTGTATTTCTGTATGTTGTTCATGAGGGGGTTTTTTTGTTTCAAAATGTGGCAAATTTCATCTTTTTGTGACTTTTGTGAGAGCTTTTTGCTGCTTTTGGCTTTTGATTTGTATTTTGCTTTTTTACCTAGTACTTTACTTCTTRAGTTTTGCTTGATGTAGCTATTGTGCTCCATTTATCTTTTAGTTTGCCTTTTACTTTTAGCCCATGTCCTGCTTCTTTTAACTTTAACAAATCTTTTTCAGCTTCTTGTGCAAATTTCAGCAAAGGTAGTCCAGTATTCAGCTGATGTTAAGGTGCAAACRCGTTTCTTTAATTTGTGTTTGGAATATTCTGTCACTTTAAATGAAGTAGTTGTCCATTTTAATAAACGAAAATCAGATCAAACGCTAAGTTTGTAGTACATCCACCAATCAGTGTTTTGTTATTAGTTTTATGTGAGAAATACTTTCTCTGTAGAACACAAATGATCCTTGCAGATTTGCACTAATGCAGAAAATAAGGAACAACGTGTTTGAAAACAGGATAAGGCCTTCATTTCTGCACTGGGTCAAGCTTTTTGACCCAGTTTTTTGATCAAGCCAGCCAAACTGTTTTAAGTGTATAAAAGTTTTTTATATTTTAAAGGGGACTAAATTAAAGAGAGACGAGAGAAAGCCTTTTGTCCCTGTCTTGGACTCCTATTGGTCCAAGTGACTTCTGCCATGGTCGGAAATTAGCATAAAGGAGGCAAGTGGCGAAGGGATCCACTTGGGGGCAAGCTGGTTACGCGTCACAGCTCTTTAAGGAAGAAAAAGGGGGGAGACAAAAAAAAAAGGGACGAAAATAGCGCAGAACCTGCGGGTTAATGTGCGCCAATGGCCACCAAGTCAATTGTGATCTCAGAGCGGAGGAAGAGGGTCACAGGTGAGAGAAGGCATGAAGGATGAGACAGTTTGAGCGTCACGGTGTGTGAGGGTAAATAAGAAAGGGGGAAAAAAGACTTTGCATGAAAGGACAGTGGCGAAGAAAATCTCTGGCAAGCAGCAGGATTTCACCACGTCACTTTCTCTGGAGATCATGAAACAGCATCGGACGTGGCGGAGCCGCGGAAGAGTCGAGGAAGCTGAAGGAAGCCCTCTCCACCGATGAAGGAGCGCCTCCTCTCCCTTTTACGCACAGGCGAGGTGAGGACGGCGAGCATCACACCCATGTAGAGAAAACACCAACGAGTCATCCGAGGTGTTGAGCGACAGAGAGAGGCAGAAGCACAACTACACTTGTTTTATATTTGTTTTTGAATAAAGAAGAGGTGRGAAAAGGAGCGCAGCCATGGATGGAGAAGGAGGATCGTCCGGGCTGGCCAAATCTGCTGCCGTCAAACTGTCAGAGATGGGGAAAAGAACCAAACAGCTCGGGTCCACCATGAGAGACCCTCACCAGCAGAAGAGGATCATATTAGTGATAGTCTGCGTGGCTCTGCTGCTGGACAATATGCTCTACATGGTGATCGTGCCAATTATCCCGGACTATCTGGCTGAACTGGAGACTGAGCAGTCAGAGCACGTCCACGTTGTGTTGCAACCCAACACCTCTTCAGCCAACAGCACAAGTCAAGACAAAAGCAACAACTTGGACATCCAAATAGGAGTGCTTTTTGCCTCTAAAGCCATCCTGCAGCTCTTAGTCAACCCCCTGTCGGGAACTTTTATAGACCGGGTCGGATACGACATCCCTCTTTTGATCGGACTCACCGTCATGTTCGTGTCCACGTGCATTTTTGCTTTCGGGGAGAACTACGCGACCCTGTTCGTGGCCCGGAGCCTGCAGGGTCTGGGCTCGGCTTTCGCGGACACGTCCGGGTTCGCGATGATCGCGGACAAGTACACGGAGGAGGCGGAGAGGAGCCGCGCGCTCGGCATCTCGCTGGCCTTCATCTCCTTCGGGAGCCTGGTGGCGCCTCCTTTCGGGGGCATCCTGTACGAGTTCGCGGGCAAGAGGGTGCCCTTCATCGTGCTCGCCTCCGTCTGCCTGGCGGACGGCTTCCTGCTGCTCACCGTCATCAAGCCCTTCTCCAACAGGACTCGAGACAACATGCCGGTGGGCACCCCCATCTACAGACTCATGATTGACCCCTACATCGCTGTGGTGGCCGGGGCGCTCACCGTGGCCAACATCCCGCTTGCCTTCCTGGAGCCCACCATCGCCAACTGGATGGAGACCACCATGCACTCCTCCCAGTGGGAAATGGGACTCACTTGGCTGCCGGCCTTCTTCCCCCACATCCTGGGAGTGTTCATCACAGTCAAACTGGCAGCAAAGAACCCACACTTGCAGTGGTTCTACGGCGCGTTGGGGATGGTGATCATAGGCGCGAGCTCCTGCACGGTGCCCGCCTGCAAAACGTTCGGGCAGCTCATCGCGCCCCTGTGCGGCATCTGCTTTGGCATCGCGCTGGTGGACACCGCGCTGCTGCCGACGCTCGCGTTCCTGGTGGACGTGCGCTACGTGTCCGTGTACGGCAGCGTGTACGCCATCGCGGACATTTCATACTCCATCGCCTACGCCATGGGTCCGATCGTGGCCGGCCAGATCGTRCACAACCTGGGCTTCGTGCAGCTCAACCTGGGCATGGGTCTCGTCAACGTGCTTTACGCGCCGGCGCTGCTGCTGCTGCGCAACGTGTGCCAAATGAAGCCGTCCTACTCGGAGAGGGATAACCTGCTGGACGAGGCTCCGCAGGGGCTGTACGACACGATCAAAATGGAGGAGGTGAGGGCTAAAAAGAAGGGCTACAACTCTGCGGGGAATTGCCTGCCCGTGGACGAGAACGGCTTCGACCCGTTCCGAGCGCAGCGGTCCGTGTCCGAGGAGTCCTCCGGTCCGGAGTACACCTGAACCCACCAACAGGACCGTTCCCAGCGATGAGACAGGCTTGTTTCAAATGAGTGGTTTTAAGTTTTATGTCTGTACCGACGTGCAATATTATCACCCAATCAACAAAATCATGATTGCGTGACCCATTTGCCAAAGTTTCTTTCTTTCTTTCTTTCTTTCTTTCTTTCTTTCTTTCTTTCTTTCTTTCTTTCTTTCTTTCTTTCTTTCTTTCTTTCTTTCTTTCTTTCTTTC